GCAGACAGGACTGGGTTGCTGGGCGGTTGCTGACACACGTGTGCATGCAGTACGGGAGTGCTGGTCAGTTGCTGACACATGTGTGCATGCAGTACGTGAGTGCTGGGCGGTTGCTGACACATGTGTGCATGCAGTACACGAGTGCTGGGCGGTTGCTGACACATGTGTGCATGCAGTACGGGAGTGCTGGGTGGTTGCTGACACAGAGGATCAGGCTGCCGGAAGCCGGGGCAGCCCAGCCCCGTCCGTTCACACCGCACTCTGCTTTGGTTTCTCTTTTGGGGCCCTGGGGATTCTCCGTACATGTTTGTGAGCTCAGCTATTCATGTAAAAGGTGTTCGTTATATTTTACGGAACATAATAGGTGACTTAAAGAGGGAGGTTTTAGGTCACTTGCAGTTTGCCTCATTTCTAGAAACAAAGCCCCCTGAGCGTCTCCTAACCTGGTATCCGATAGTAGGCCGCCTGCCTCGAGGCTTAGATGCCCTGTTTGGTTGTTCAGAGAGATTCCCCACCGTGGAGACGTTCACCCTAACAGGATTGGCCTGAAGTAACCCAGGGAACAAGTGAGCCGGGAGTCGATAGCAAATTCTGGTCTCTCCACCACCAGCAAGTTTGAGATATAAGCCAGGAAAACGATTAAAAGGAAAGAGAGGAAAAGATTGGGATGTGAGGAAAAGAGAGGGGCTGTTTAAAAGACTCTCAAGGTTGGCTGGAAGGGAGCAACCTTTGCCCTTCAGAGCCCTGGTGACCTTTGATCTCACTGGCCAGCAGACCAGCCCCGTGGTGGCAGAGCTGGGCCCTGTGGGCTTCGCGGGATGGGGGCCAGGGCTCCAGGTAATCTGCTTCCCGATGCCATCACCAGCCAACCTCCACTCGCTCTCCGAGTCCAGCCCTGCCACCTGGCCTGTGACCTGGTGACACAAAGGCTGCACCCTGCCAGCCCTCGCCCAGGCTCCTCGGCCTTGCGTCTGCACAGCACTGGGCCCGCCTGTGAGCCGGCTCGGTGCCCTGTCAGCAAAAGGGAAGCTGCTTGTGAGGAGAGCCGAGCTCTGCCATCGGGAAGCATGGGGTGACAGGGTGTTCCAGAGGGCTGGTCCCTTCTCCACCTGTGTGCTCGGGACCACGCAGGCCTCCCAGGACGGGACATCCGTGACCCAGCCCACACGGCGTGCTATTTTTTCTGCCGTGAGGACCAAGAGGCGTGACTCAGGTCAGTGTGAAATCCGTGGTGGGGCACACACGTGATGACGCACGGCCCTGGAGGTGCCGGGCGAGCGGTGCAGCCATGTGGACTGCTAGCTGGTCTGCAGTTGCCAGAAGGCACAGACACTCCCAGAGAGAGGGAGACCACCTGAAGGCACGTGCCCCCGCCCCCCGGCAACCCTCCCCTACCTGTCGGGATTGCGGGCATGCGAGCGCACGCACCTGGCATGTTTTCCAAGCTGCCAGGGCCGGGATTCAAACCATGGCTGGCCGTGTGGGACAGGGCTCCCTGTGCACAGGGCCAGCGGTTTCTGACTCCTGAAGTCCCTCTGCTCAGTGACAAAGTGGATGGCTGCTCTGGGCTCCTGAAATGCCTTTCCTACCTTCAACCACCCGGCCCTGCCCTGGACAACCCCAACCTGCCCATAGCCCCGACAGGGGCAGGGCAATGGGGGCGACGGGGCTCCCATGGCTCCTGTGTCATTCCGAGAGCAGCGCCTCAGACACGCAGGGGCGGGAGCAGGAGGGCTGCCACCCTAGGCCCTCACCTGCTCACTGCCGGGCTTCACGGCCTCACAGCACACACGGGGCGTCTACTCACTGCCTGCATGTTTCCAGGGGCTGCTGTGGGCCGGACGCTGCATTAGGTGGGGGGAGAGGCCAACAGACTGGAGGGACTTGGTTCCTGACCTCCTGTAGTGTAGGGTCTGGTAGAGGACACAGGCGTTACGTGAGCCTTCGCTGTAATGAACAGGGTGCCAGGGGACACCCAGCTCCATGAGCATGTGAGTAGGGACAGCCTCACGTCCGGGTGGAGGGTGTGGCATCTAGGTTGAGGCCAGAGCCACACACAGAAGCCAGCCAGTGTGTGTGTGTGTGTGGGGGGGGAGCCCCTCCTCAGGGGAGGGGAGAGGAGAGCCCCTCTGTAGGGGAGGGGGGAGAGGAGAGCCCCTCTGCAGGGGAGGGGAAAAAGGAGAGTCCCTCTGCAGGGTAGGGGAGAGAAGAGAGCCCTTCTGCAGAGGAGAGGGGAAAGGAGAGCCCCTTTGCGGGGG